TTCTTCATATTATACATTTATAAATACTTGGTATACTTAAATTTAATATAATTATTTAAATCAAAATAAAATTATTCATTATAATATGATTATTTATGATATTATTAATCATATGAGCGTTCTATAATTGCAAGCAAATTCTTAATTTATATAATTGTATATTGATATTTTAAATCAGGTCTTTAATTTGTAAAACTATTTTTATTAATAAACTGATTCCTTTGACTATTTTATATAAACGTAAATAACATTAGAATTAATATTTAGTAACTTTCTAAATTAAATAGTATATTAATTAGGCTTTGATAAAATCTAACAATTTATTAATAATATTGAATAAATAATAACTGATTAATTAACAGTATTAAAAAATATAATAGTTTCTGACACAACATAATATGAAAGATCTTTTTAATCAATATAAATTCTTATATTATAGGCATAAATAATTTAAAATATTTAATAAGTTGATAGATAGTCATTTTATTATAAATAAAACTCATTATTAGATAAATAATACATGTAAATAATGAGAGCGATATCGTAAGCATTGAATGTGTTTTTGATTTCAAACGAAGATCCTATAAATGTTCTAAATATAATTTCTACTCAAAAAATGACATATAAGATTATAAAAGAATAATATTTGAAGCTTCTTTCAAATGCATATTATGATGGTATAAATATAGAAGAAGACTAAGAAAATCTATAATACTAAGTAATTTTTTTAGAATATCCTTCTTCTGTAATAACTTATGACGATAATTTTCCTTACCCAAAGAATCATCCTTTTGTCATTAATGAAAAGACAATAACTTTTGAATCTAATTAATAATAAATACAACTTGATATTCCTTTATTCAACGTTTACAATTTATCTGAAACAGTAGATAGTGTTGGTAATTATATTTGCTTATAAAATATTTAAGAGAATTGGATTTCTAAGGATTGCATACTTTTATATTAAACTAATGACTAAAATCAAATTTATTAATTTGTATGTTAATGCAAAACTCAAGGAATATAAACTCTTGTTAATGACATAAATGGAATATTTAAAGTGCCTACTCGTACAACGATTGGTATTTGTATGCTTCTGTATGGACTTTAGTTGCTACTACTATAATTTATCTGATGTTATTTATATATTTATAATAAATCGATAATAATCAAGACTAAAAAATGTAATAAAGCACAATAAAAAGTAATTAAATCACAGAAATTATTTTTAATAAGGATATTAATGATTAAGAACGAAATTAATAATTAGATAATATTTTAAAAGACCATGAATAAATTTTTTAAATACAAAACTAAAATTTTATAGAAACTCCCAATCTAAAAATAAGTATTTTTTAAAGCAAATATTATTTATATTAAAATATTTTATTTTTTTATAAAAAAAATAATGTAAAAAAATATATTAATAATAATTTATTAAATAAGTTATATAGCAATAAATCTATAATTTTTTTTATTATTGGTATATGTTTTTTTTTATATTTTTAATTAATTTTTAAAGATTATTTAGCTGGATTTTAAAAAAATAAAGATTTTAGCTAGACTAATTAAGTCATATAATATTAAGATATTGCAATGAAAAAAATTGAAAATAATGCATAATCAATCAATTAATTAGGTTCTTTTATCTCATAATAGCTATAATATGAAATATCATAAGGGAAAATATAAAAAGTAATGCCATTAAATATTTAATCTAATACAAAAGAAAATAAAAGTAGACTGATAGATGAAAATCAATAAAAAGGAGATGATTAATTTCTAACATAAGATAAAATAAAAACATTAAATTCACATAGGATTAGTAAATTGAATTCTTAAATATATTCTACAGTTTCTTTTTAATAAAATAATTAAGAAGATGGCATATAACCTAAAAAGATTAGGATAAAATTTAAGATCTTGAAACAATCAGCTAAACCTTAAAAAATACTTTAGTTAGAGAAAAAACATTAAGCTAATTTGACTCAATTGTAAAATTTATAAAGCTAATAAATAAATAAAAATGTGAATAACGACTATAAAAATGAAGAATAAACAAAGCATAGTAGTAATTAAGTTTTAAAAGGTCTAAATATAATTAGTTAACCAGAATAATAATAGCGATAAAAAGTTGAATCAATTACATTTACTAAAAATAGCTCTATATTACAAATAAATAATAAAATGTCTTTTTATAATTAGAATGTTTTGTAAAACTTTTTAAAAGAAAGTAGAATTGTTTAAGTTATAATTTTTCATGAATTAATTTAAATATTTATTCTTTTTAATTAATTTTTAAGTAGGCCTTTTAGATTAACTTAATAATATGTAAAATATGTTATTCTTATTACTTTTAATTCTATTTGTTTTATGATTTAATTTTTTTTAATAATATTAGCTAATTTTTTATTATTACTGAGTATTAACGTATTTATTATTTTTGTAGAAAGTACATATAAATTGAATAAAAGAATATTTAAATATATGATTTATCTCATTTTTATTTTTATAGTTGTAATTTGCTTTTACATAATTTGTATTCGTATTTAAAATAAATTTTATAATAAATATAATGATTGGGTGCCTTTTTATTTCTTAGTAATTTTTTTAGATATCTTTATTTATTAAATTATTTCTGCATTTATAAAATAAAGACTAATTATTTAATTGTTTTCTAATAAAATTAATTAAAAATGCTATAGTATTAAAATGAAATTATTTAATATTCTTAATTTAGAAAATTTTTTAATGAATATATTTAAAATAAAATATTAAAATTGACAACTTTAATAATTATTATTTTTTTAGTTTGAATTAAATAATAGTCTTTATTTTATTTAAATTATATAAATATTTTTTATATATAATTAGTTAGAATTTTATTATATATTTTTACATTTTATTTACTAATTTAAAATTTTTTTTGTTTAAAATAATTTTTAAAAAATGATAATTTGTTAATTTAGTTTTTAAAAATAAAATTAATGCAATTAATTGAACAAGTAATATATAATTACAACTAATTCTAATTTTTTTCGAAATTATTTATATATTTAATATAAAAATATAAAAAATATAAAGAATTTATAATTATAATTATTTTTTTATATCATTATTATAAATGTTTTTTAAAAAAATATAAGTAATAAAGAATATTAATTATATAAATAAATAAGAATAAATTTAAAATATATCAAATAATATAATTTAAAAAATTATGAATTTATTTTATTAATAAATAATATATTCTTATATATATATTTATCTTTTTTATTTAATATTTATTAATTATATATTTTAACTGCTATATAGCATAATATAAAATAATAAAATAAAGCTAAGATAATCAATATGGAATGCTATATTCAAAATTAACTTATTTTTTTTCTTTTTCTTTTTTTATAAACTTTTAGATTACTGTTCTTATTCTTAATAAAATTAAATTTCTTTATTACTTTATTCTTGTTCTTTTTTTTTCGTCATATTATATATAATATTTATTTTATTTAATTTTAAATCATCAATAACTTCTTATGGAGATCTTGGTTCTATTATTTGTTAAATTTTATATTAATCTGGTTCTGTTTTATGATTTTTATTTTAATCTATATAATCTCTATTTATTTCAAAAGAATTATTTATACTTATATCTAATTATTTATCTAAATCTTAATAACTTTTCATTTTATTTTTCTTTTTTCTTATTTAAAGACGCCTATTAATTATATCTGTTTAACTTTCGCACTCTTTTAATATTAATTTCATATGATATTTCATTTCTTAATCATGATTGTTTAGCAAAACTCTAACAGATTACCAATTATCTTATTAATATATATATTTTAGTTTATTTTGTATTTCTTTTAATCTTTAGAATTTTGAATTTTTTTCATCATAATTATCCAACATAAGCTTTTAATATTATTTTATTTATTTTATATTTATATATTAATATTTTACTTCTTATTAATGTTATTCTTATGCATTATCCATTGCCATATTTACATTTTGTTTCATTAATAAAGATGTAATTTTATTTTTAAAAATAATAAATTTCTCATCTTTCATATTTTCATAATATTCTATTGCTTTCTATATATTTTTTAAATAATATTTTTTATGTATATTACTGAATATAATTCTAATAATTCAACTACATTTTTTATATCAATATCTAATGTTTCTAATTCTAATTCTAAATTAAATACACGATCTGCAAAATTTTCTGGTAAAGAAACTTTTTATTTACAAGAATAATCATTATTGTCTTCATCTGTTTTTTTATTAAATATTTTTTATAACATTTTTTAATTATTTTATATTAAATAAAATTTATTATATAATATTATTAAAAATATTCATTATTTTTATTTTATGTTGTTTATTAAAAATAATAAAAAAAAAATATAAATAAATATATAAATATATACATATGTATATATATATTATATTTATAATTTATTTATTTTTATTTTTTTAAAATATTTAATATTTGATTTTTACTATTTTAAATATATTTTATTATTATTTGATTTTATATTCAATCATCAGTTTTTAAAATTAATAAAGAAATAATAATTTTTGAAAATTTTGAAATTTTATTTATAAAAATATATTATTTTAATAATTTTTTATATTTTTACAATTAATAATTTTTT